TTTTTTTTTACAACACTACCTATAATATATATATATATATATATTACATTAAAACTAAAAGATTGATGCCAAAAAATCCAAATTCGATGAATATTTAGAGGTCGCTCAAATCGATTTTCGTATTTTTGCACATTTGAGCCGCGAAATTATTACTGCGCAAAATAGTAAATAACTCCGTTAGTTTTTAATCGATATTATTAAAAATTTATGGGTTACCTAGTTTTTTAATACCCTCTGAGACAGTGTATTGAACTTTACGGAAAAAAAATTTTTTTTCATGAAAATAAATAATTTGTTAATAAAAACGTATAATCTTATAAAATAGGCAACAATTGGAATCGCACTATGATGGTACCATAAAAAAATCAAGAAATGAACACTTAAATTATTTAGTATACATTAAACCTGCCGAAAGAAATATTTTATTTGATTTATATAAAATATAACCTAAAAATAATTAAGTAATTTAGATTTTACCCATTTTCAAACGATTTTATAAATAATTTATATCCGTTTTATTAATTATGACGTATTTTTATAATATTTCTTTATTTTTGATACCATATTTAATTAATTAAACTAGGTAGTTATTAAATTAGGTCCTTTTTACAACTAAAATAAAATAACTACAAAATTATTCACTGCATTGATATGGCTTAAGCAGAAATTTAAATTTTATTAAAATTATTGACATACAACAATTCTCAAATTTTGATACCAAAATTATTTGATTCTGTCCAGATGTTGCTAAATTGACATACATAATAATTATTATTCTTAAATTTTGATAGTAGGACCTACTACCAGGTAGTTGATAAATTTTATATATATATATATATATATATATATATATATATATATTATTTACTTAATTCAAAAGCGTCTAAGTACCAAAACTAATTTGTTGAGAAATTAAAGAAAAACATCTTATACTTTGGTGGAGATAGATAGCATGCCCGATGGATGAACAAAGCTATATACTCTCTAAAGATTTTCTTATTTCGGGATTAATTTAAACTCACTAACAATGAAAATAAGTCATTGCGTAGAATTTGTATTTTTATTATTTTGGGTTACATATTTGCCTGGTTCCAAGCTCCAAATGCAACTTGCGCGCCCAAAAATTATTTGAAAACACTTCATGAACTTCATGTTTACAAAAATAAAGAATTGCAAATAGAAGAGCTAATTTGTTTGGCATTTTTTAATAAAAGAGTACCTACTGAAACAAAAGAAAAAATGGTTGAAAAAATTAACATTTGAAACAATCATTGCAAAGAAAAAGATGTAGAGCAGTGGATTTTTTTAATTTTAATTATAAAAAGGACATAAATTAATAACTACTTAGTGTAATTAATTAAATATGGTATCAAAAATAAAGAAATTTTATAAAAATACGTCATAATTAATAAAACGGATATAAATTATTTATAAAATAGTATGAAAATGGGAAAAATTTGAATAACTTAATTATTTTTAGGTTATGTTTTATATAAATCAAATACAATATTTCTTTCGGCAGGTTTTATGTATGCTAAATAATTTAAGTGTTATTTTCTTAGTTTTTTTACGGTACCATCATAGTGCGATTCCAATTGTTGCTTATTTTATAAGATGATACGTTTTTATTAACAAATTATTTTTTTTTCATGAAAAAAAAAAAATTTCCGTAAAGTTCAATACACTGTCTCAGAGGGTATTAAAAAACTAGGTAACCCTTAAATTTTTAATAATATCGATTAAAAACTAACGGAGTTATTTACTATTTTGCGCAGTAATAATTTCGCGGCTCGAATGTGCAAAAATACGAAAATCGATTTGAGCGACCTCTAAATATTCATCGAATTTGGATTTTTTGGTATCAATCTTTTAGTTTTAATGTAATCTTTATAATTTAGGCCAGTGCGGGTTCATTTTTAAAAAAAGGCTTTTTTTGAATCACCCTAATATATATATATATATATATATATATATATATATGTATTTGCACAATCTGGTGGGTATTTGTATATTTTTTAAATTTAAAAAATATTAAATTTACAAAGGAGTCGTGCACACAAAATTTATAAAAATAAAAGAAATGAAATTGACAAACGAAATTATTTAAGTACACTGAGAATATTTAGTAGGTATTAAGATACCAAAAGAGATTTTTAAAAATATATGTAAACTATTAAAGAATTCTTCATTGAAAAACAAATTTTAATAAGGGTAAAGTTGTCAAATAACATTGATATATTAATTGTTAACAGTTGCAATATGCAGTAATGGTTGCCTATGATAAGTAGGCATCTACTAAATGTTATAGTCTATAATATAGTATAAATCTACTTATCATGTGCAATCACTATTGCATAATGTAACTGATACATCTCGCTTATGTGGCACTATTCGTTAAGTATATAAGTTGACACTATCTGAATTGCAATTTGAGATTTATGAATCCGAACCTCGGGAAATAAACGAGCCACGAATTGTGGCCCAAGATTAAATTTAGCTTTTTCACTGGAATTCTTTGTTGGAGCCAGGATTGTTACGTCGGGATCGTCACGGAATTTCCGTGGCCCTCTGCTTAAGCAGTGCCTGCTTGGCAAGGCCAAAGCCGCGAACCCACAATTTACTCATTTGGAAGAGGGAACTAAGCTCAGCTTAGTGAGCTGTTTCCCTATTTACTTATTTTGCCCCATCATGAAAAATAAGGAAGGGGGCTTCGTCATTCTGATTTCATATTTATTACGTCATATTTATGTCACATTTATTACGTAAGAATCTTACGTAAGAAAGTGTGAAATAATGACTCTGGTGTGACGTAAATCTTATGTAATGGTATGATGTCAGTGTTACTTTAAGATGTTTACGTCATGTTGATTACGTCAGAGTCTGTCGTAAGGAGGTGTAAAATTATTACTCTTATATGACTCAGGTATCTTGTAAGCGTGACCTGACATGACGTCATATTTACGTAATTGTGTTTACTAGGATATCCTTTTAGGGTTGTAGTAATTCCACGATTTCTTACATGATCCACAGTTTTTCCCGAGATTTACAATCGAATTTCATCAAATAAATATTTAAAATAATTATTAACAAATTTTCCTGTTGTAGGTACAGTGCCATTTTCTTAAAGTAAATTTCCCTCAATATAAATATAACTTATAGAAGGATGAGTAAACATTTGAGTTTGAGGTGTGCAAATTCATCATCATTTACGTTTAAAATATCTACTCATATTTTTTTATTTTAAATCCTAATGATTTGAGGTACGCGATATTAGCAGGTGTTAATTGGTTAACCGTTTGATTGACACTGACATTGATTGTTGCCACACTTTTGTTATCTTTTAAAACCATTACTGCTGCTGCTGAGCCTTTCAGTTCATATAAACATGGGTCCGCAAAAGCTTTGTTTTCAAGATACAGGGTTTTAAACTTTGATAAACTTTAACGAATATTTTTGACAAAAATATTTGTAAAGGTGCCGCTCGGGACGATACTGGACTTAATAAATTATCCCCTTAACATTTCATATAACACTGCGAAATTACAACAAAATTGGGTAAAGGATATTTAAGATATTTACGAAAAACCAATAAAAAAAAACAAGTTTAACATCCTGTATCTTGAAAACGAAGCATTTGCGAACCCAGGTTTCTATAAACTTTTTGTCTTAAAATTACTCAAAGAATCGTCTGTTAAATTTATTGTACATACTTAAGTTACACCCTGTATATAGTTCTCCGTTAGTTTTTGTTTTAAAAAAAATAAATGTTAAAATCAAAGAATAAGAGTTTTATTTTATTATAAACACCCAATGTAATTTATTGGAAAATAAATATTCATTGATTAACCATATCAAATACAGATGAGAACCAATATGGAATATGTAATATGCTTACAATACTATATGCACTGGAAATCCATTAAAAACACTGGCCGACAGCCATTTTGGTGCAGGGTAGACAACAACTTTTTTAGGGTTATTTGAGTAGGCCGAATCCAAAAATGACCATCACTTTGCTCAATCAGCTCTTGTTTTTGCGATATAACAAAAAACCATTTTTTTTATATGCGCACATTCAAATGCTTAAATATATTTTTTTAAACTTCTAATTTAAGCATTGATCATGCTGTATCACTTTGAATTTTAAAAATATCCGAATTTTGGCTAAAAATCGATTTTCTTTCGATGAAAGCAAGATTTTTAAAGAGAATACCATTATCAATGTATATGGTATTTTTTTTTAGTTTAATAAAGACCCATAACATTATTACCAACTATCCTTGCTTCAATTAGAAGTTTAAAAAAATATATATAAGAATTTGAATGTGCGCATATCGAAAAAAATGGTTTTTATTCTACACCACAAAAACAAGAGCTGATTGAGCAAAATTATGTTCATTTTTGGACTCAGCGTACCCAAATTACCCTTAAAAAGTTATTGGTTGCCATGCACCAAACAGAAATTTTATTTTTGTCGGCCTGTGAAATCTACACCATGTCCAGCAGGGTCGGACATGTATATATCCAATGGATTCATTGGTTATCCAGAATATCCTATGTATATCCTGGATATCCATAGAGGATATCTATTGGATATCCATTGGATGTAATTGTTCCGTGTGGGTCTATACCATCCCCACTTCCACTGTAAAATGACAACGTTAGTTTCTAGTTATAAAATACGTGATATTTACGTAGAATAAAACTGAAAATACGTGGAATTTATTTAACATTTTAACTACGTATTTCCCACTTCAAAGACATTCAAAATCTTTATGCATTACAAACAAATTATTATACTAATTTCCAACGTTGCTCGAATGTAAGTAAACGAAATATTCTATAGCAATGAACATTTAACTTATTTATGTAAATAAAAAAGTTTACTTTGCAATTAAACACCTATAACATATGACAAAATATAATTCATATGCATTAAGCAGAAAGGCGCGAGCGTTATTATTAAAACTAAAAAAATATGTTTACTTATTTTATTTCGAAATAAATTATATCAATAATATCATAAAATAATTAAGGATTGTTTCCTTCACTTATTTTTGTTTTAGATTTTTTGTATGGAAAAAAGCTTACAATAAATACAATACAAACTACAAGACATATTATAAAATATAAAATTAACAACGCCAAATAAGTATTATTATAATTTATATATTTCTGTTGAGAACCCAAATATCCTAAATTCGATAATACTTCACTTCCATTTGGCGGTTGACAAGGTAATTGAACTATTATATCTTGATGTTGTACCTAAAATAATATAATTTATAAGGTGTTTCAATGACGCACTATACAAGACTATTTTTATATCAGGTAAGTGTGTTTAAGTTTAAGCCAAATTAGGTTGCCTCTAGCTAACTAAACTAAGTAACTAACTAGCATTTTTTTATTAATTTTATTTTTCTAAATATTCCCCTTACAACGAAATGTAAGTCGCATAATCCCATGACTAAGATAACCCCCCGTATCTGCAATATTAAGTAATAAATGACAAACGATAATTTGTATTGTTTTTACGCGCGCTCAAGTAAGAAGAGTTTTGTGTTTTATTTTTCATAGTCATATTCATATTTCATAATATTTACCAATTTATAAGTTTTAAATTTAAAAAACAATTTGTACCATTGCTCAATCTATAAAATAAAATTTTTGTTTCCATTCAATTATCAAATTTGGTATTATAAAAGTCGTGGGACTGCAGCTCCTTTTTTACATACTGGCATAGCGCTAAGCTCATAAATAACACTAGTCAACAAATTTTAACTTTTTTTAAAGGTCCTGGGTAAAAATAGAATTTTTTAATTGTTTATGACTAAAATAGATCCAAAATGTTTTTTTTTTTTAATTCTGAGGTCGTAAATGAAAAATAGGAGCACAGTATTTTGGTACCATTTATTGCATAGACACACCATTTGAACATTTTAGGATGAAGTTATTTTTAACTTATATTTTGGCATTCTATGAACAACATATATGTTATTAAAATTACTACCAAGCGATTATTCTAATATTAAATCTAATTAACTTATAACTAACTAAACTATACGACGCGTCGCGACGGTTAAAATAGCACTAAACCAGGTACTTACTTTCCGTATATTTTGGTTTATTCTGTGGTATTTAACGCATGTTTTTATGGTGTTTACTGTTTTTATCGTTCAAATTATTTTTTTTCTGATTTTAATCGTTCAATTTATTATTTAACAATTTTTCTTTGTATCATGGGTGCTGTCCGTATCGTCTAAACCTGACCTCGGAAAATATTTTGGGCGCCGAAATTGCGTCGATTAGGTCAAAATCTATAGGACTAAGCTATTTTTATTACCGACCTTTTTTTGTTGTTGACTAGTGTAATTAGCCTAATTATTAGCCTTTCATGCTCTATTTAATATTGTTTAATGGAATAATAATTATTTATTTAAAAAATTTAATTTTTAACACTTACTTGTTTGTTTCGACATAGCATGTTGCCTAAACTACTTAAAATTGCTTCTTGAGATAATTCCCTTTTTAACAAAAATGGTAGAACCCAAGTAGTTGGACTCAAATACTCCAAAAAAGTTACATAATAAGGCAAATCATAAAAATGTATTGTGTATCCACTCATAAATCCAAGAATAATTATAAACATTGTTGAAATAATGGCAGCATTTTTGGGTAATAAATAAAAAAATAACAAAATTAGCATTTGTATGCAGTTTAGAAATAGTAACATTGTACCTAAAACAAAAATAAAAATAACTAAAATATTTCAAGTCGTATATGCAATAACAGTGCAACAAGTAGACCAACAGGTCTCTTTTTTTATGGCCTGCAGTAGAAATTCCAAATGAGCCTATGAGTTTTGACGTTGAAAGCAAAATTAAAACTAAGCATTTAAAAATAATCTACTTATTAATATCAAGTCACGTTATGAAAAATTAATTACTTTATAAACCACAACAAAAAATATACCTATATAAACAAAAAAAAGTTCTTAATACTAATATTAAAACACAGTATACACAGAATAATGTGATTAAGCCTTGCCGAAAACGCGATACATTTCCCTAGGGCCCTTTTAAATAACATGGCATATCTTTACGTTATAAATGTAATTTTTTAATAAAATATACAGAAATATTCATATTTTTCTCGTAAACTAAACGCTTTACAAAAAAGTTTTTTTTACAAATTTATGATAAAATTACTTATTAAAAAGTTATTTATAATTTAATTAAAATTAAATATTGCTTCTATGAGCAAATATGCTTCTTTTGAAAGATTAAGTTTTATTTTTAAAAAATTCTCTTATTGGTTTTATACATTTCTGTGAACGAAAAGAGCACACAAATCCCATCTTCTAAAAGTGTTTTGCTCCAATTAATTTTAAAATATCAATTTAAAAATTTGGGGAATTTTAAATATTAAAAGCGTAAGTAAAATAATAAAATAAAAAAAATAATTAAAAAAAATTAAAAACTCAAATTGGTTAAAAAAAATCGTTCAATACATTTGCAACCAGAAATGATTTTGAAATAAAAATTTGATAATTCTTTGTAATCAAATATTTTAAACAATTGTTTTTTTGTAATAAATAATACACATTTTGATCCGTAGGGATTCCGTTGGGGTTAAGCTTTTTTAATGAACCCCCAACAATTTATGCAAAAAAATCTCTATGGTCAATATTTTCAATGGTCAAATTTCAATGTATATAAAGGATGATTTTTTAAGTGTGTCCGAACTTCTGACAAGTGTCGCTGTCAAACAAACTTTCAATTTTCATTAATCTAGAAACTAAGTTACTCAGTATAGTCTGACAAATCATCATGGAACGTTTAACGCTTACAAATTGTCGAAATTTACCATAAAAACCATTGTTTTGTGCGCCAAACTTATCGTGCTCTTCGTGAATTTTAAGGTATACATACGCCCAATCGAGCGATGTATTCATCAACAAATTTCAAAAGAACTTCACCCTGTTAGATATTAAAATAAAGACAAGAACAAAAACAGTGCGTTTCCAAGAAAATATCATCGCAGTTATCGACAGTGATGAGAAACACCCAAATTTGTCAATTCGTCGACGTTCGCAGAAAGTTGGGCTTTGTTATTGAACTACGTGGGAAATTTTGTGGAAATATCTTTATTTTCTTTGGGAAAATGTTAAATCTTTGGTATATGTAAATAAACCAGCAACTATTCAAGACTTGGAAGCTAACATAACTCGGACAATTGCGTAAATAAGACCTAAATTGCTTGATAAAGTGGTCGCAAATTGGATTAATATAATTCACTTTGTTACAAGTAGCCGCGGAGGACATTTGTCCGAAATTATTTTTAAACAATAATGTCATTGAATGTTATTTCATATAAAATAAATATTTTTAAGATATTTAATTTGGTTGTTATTTAATTTGAATTTAAAGTTCGGACACTCTAAAAAAATCACCCTTTATATATACTTTTATATATTTCTACATATTTAGAATCCTGAGAAAATTCTGAGTCGGACACCATCCTCAAATTGACCTTTCGACGTTTCGTCATCAGAAAATGCATCATCATAAATATCAATCTAGAGTGATATTTGAGAAAAACGAATTTTGACAAGTTTAGACTACTGGGAATAGCTGAATAACAACTTTCTAAGGCAAGTTCCATTTTTCAGGCATTGTGTGAATCCATTAGAAGAAAATAAGATAGTTCAAAGCACTTTAGATTGATCTTTATGATGATACATTTTCTGATGACGAAACGTCAAAAGGTCAGTTTAAGGATGATGTCTGGCTCAGAATTTCCTCAGGATTCCAAATATGTAAAAATGTATAGGGTATTCCATTTAAAAATCGAAAGTTGGTGTCATTTCCGGCGAAACAGGAAGTTCAAAAAATTCATTTTGTACTCTTATAAGTGGCATTTTATATCCCAATTAACCATGCAAAATTTCATGTGTCTATCTTTATATATAAAAAAGTTACAGGGGTGCGCCTATTCTCAGATACACCCGGTAAATATACACTCCGCCAAGAAAGTATCGCATCACCTATAAAACTAAAAATATTACCATTAAATTTAATGTATTTAAACAATTCAATAAATGTTGACAAACGAAAATACAAAAACAATGAATTGTTTCACAAAAAACTGCGAAAAAACTTTTTTCTCAGATTTAATCGGATTTAATTACTTATTTTATATTTTGCTTTGTTTAAGTGCACACAATTTGTGTTTAATTACAAATTTTGCAAAGAATATTGAATATGGAAGGTCGTGCAAACATAAATTTAAATTTAACTAGGGAACAAGTAATTAGAATAGTTTCTCTTGTTGAAGATGGACGAAGTCAGAGATACGTGGCTAATTTAGTAGATGTAAACCAATCGACAGTATCCCGAGTACTTGTTAGATTCCGAGAGACTGAAGGATATAACAGACGAGCAGTATCAGGCCGGCCGACAGCAACTACGCCTGCAGACAATAGATTTTTGACTCTTCAGGCTCTGCGTCGAAGACATGTAACTGCAAGTCAACTTCAGCATGACTTGGCTGAGACTCGGAATGTACGTATATCTTCAGAAACTGTGAGAAACATCTTAAGGCAGTCTGGAATTAGAGCCAGAGTAGCTGTCATTGCACCTCAACTCACCAGGAAACACCGTGTAGCACGATTAACATTTGCTAGAGAACATGTTAATTGGAATATTGAAAACTGGGGTAACGTACTCTTTACAGATAAGTCAAGATTTAGTTTATACACATCAGACCGAAGAATACCTGTTTATAGACGAGACGGCGAGCGCTATTCTCAATGCAACATAAGACCTTCGGCAAATTTTGGAGGAGGGTCTATTATGGTTTGGGGAGGAATATCTTTAAGTGGTTTTACGGAATTAGTGGTGCTAGATGGAGGATCCTTAACTGCTGACAGGTACATTAGAGACATTTTGGATCAACATGTTGTCCCCTACGCCCCATTTGTTGGTGACGATTTCGTCTTAATGCATGACAATGCACGCCCCCACGTCGCAAGGATAGTAACCGAGTACCTTCAGGAGGTAAATATCCCAGTTTTAGGATGGCCAGCACGCAGTCCAGATTTAAACCCAATAGAACATGTTTGGGACTATCTTTATAGAAGGGTAAGAGCTGGAAACGTGCTTCCAGCTAATCTTCAGGAACTGCAACTGCTATTAACTGCAGAATGGGATAATTTGAATCAGGATTATTTAAGGACATTAATTGGAAGCATGCCACAACGTTGTCGTGAAGTAATAAGAGCTAGAGGGGGCAATACGCGTTACTAAATTTATTTTATATGTCATTAAATTTATTTTTAATTAACATTGTTTTTTGCATTTTTCATTATTTGTGAATTAAATTGAATAAAACCATTGCTTTTCGTTGATGTTGTGTTTTTTTATGATTTTACAAATAAAATAACTAGAAAATATTTAAAACCATCCTCATAAACATTTATATATCATTGATATATTTGTAGTATTAAGAAATAATGGTGATGCAATACTTTCTTGGCGGAGTGTATATATATATATATATATATATATATTAGGGTGGGTCAAAAAAACCTACTATTTTTTTTTTACTTTGTACTCTGAGAAATCTCTAGAGAATTCTCACCAAACATGAGCTCTTAATTTTGATAACAAGGTCCTCCGCTTTACAATTTTCCATTTTTTCCTCAGTATTAAAAACAAAAATTCATATCTCTTCGACAACTGTTCGTTAAAATAATAACTCTCCTCAATATCTATGAGTTGCGCGAGTTATAAAATTCATAAGCAAAACAGAAATTTCTCTTAAAATAATTAAACTTTAACCTTCGATATCTTTTTAACGGTGAGGTTTACGAAAAAATTGTAAGAGACCTTTTTTGTAGAGCGTTTGATTTTCTAGAAGAATATAAGGAGAGTTATTTTTTAACAAACAGTTGTCGAAAAGATATAAATTTTTGTTTCTAATACTGAGGAAAAAATGGAAAATTGTAAAGCGGAGGACCTTGTTATCAAAATTAAGAGCTCATGTTTGGTAAGAATTCTCTAGAGGTGTCTAGTAACCGATTTTTCAGAGTACAAAGTAAAAAAAAATAGTCGGTTTTTTTTACTCACCCTAATATATATATACCGTACCTTCATTTGCAAGCTAACCATAGGGAAAATACATTGTAACTGGACCAGATAAGTCTTAGTCAGCACGAAGCGAAAAACGTTGTAGAAATGATTTGGACGCGTGGACGAGTACGCTAGCATGCGCCGTAACTGTTGACCTTGCTTCATACATCGATGCTTTATTATTGTTTTTTATTTTGTGCGGTGTAAATCTGCTAAAATTTGTTTTAGTACGCATGTCTCGACGACGCATCCAAATCATTTATGAAAAGGTTCTCGCTTTGTGTTGACTGCGACTTATCTGGTCCAGTTACAATGTATTTTCCCTATGGTTAGCTTGCAAATGAAGGTACGGTATATTTAATAATGCATATATTAAAAAAATAAAACCCAATGTTCATACAAAATAATTGGGTAGGTACGTACACACCCAAAAGTCTCACCACGTAACTTTGATACAAATAATTATAATTATAACCTTATAAGGTTAATTTTTTATCAGTGTCAAGCTAATTTCATTCTATTTTCTGAAAATAATTCAATACATAAATATATTGTTTTATTTTTAGAAAATAGCTTGACACTAACATAAAATTAACCTTATTTTTTATCAAATTCACGTTGTGGGACTTTTGGGTGTGGATTATAATACGTTTAAAACATTTTTATATATTTATACTTACCAACATAAATAATAAATCCATCGTGATTTTTTAAATTTTGCAAGTATAGGCCAGACATTAAATAGCTGGGTGTTAAATATACTATCCAAATGAATAAGGAAGAAAACGCATTTAAAATTGTCTACAAGTAAGAAATATATTAGTATAATAAATAAACACAAAATAATATACATAATATATAAATTGTTATTTTCCAAAATTCCTTACCAAATGCCCCAATCTTTTATCTTTTTTTGGATACATTATAGTCCACAATCACAATTATATGTATACCTGCCTAGTATTTTTTCTAATTTAAATATATTTTGCATCATTTTTTTATTATTAAATCAATGCTTTTTTTAATATTACAATACTACCAGAAAAAAAATATGAAAAAACTATTATAAAATAGTAAACTAACTAAAAGCGATCTATCACTCATTTGTTAAATTATAAAATTTTAAAACATTAACTAAACTCGTCCCCTTTCCACACACCGAACCCAGCAGGATTATTTTTGATTTTAAATCATCCGATTCATTTTAAATTTAAATTGAATTTTTAATAAATGTTACTGTATTTCCACAATTAAAATCTGGTTTTGCCCCTCCTGGGTCTTTTTATTGACTAATGCATGCAGGGCCAACTCCATAGCATTTGAAGCCCTGTGCAAAATTCTTGTTGCGCTCCATGTATATATATCGCTTAATGTTTTTTTTCTACTCCCATACTTTAATTCGTTTATTGGACATTTTTAACTTATACTTATAATGAGATACATTATCATAAAAATTGTTCACTAAGATGCAGATTTTTAACCAATAGAAATGCAATAAACGGCAATATTAACCAATGGAAAGCGATACACGGCGATATTCTGTCAATATCAACGAATGCCTTGCACACCTGACATATCTAATTTTAATGAATTTTGAATGTTTACTGTTACTGTTTACATAGAACATTTTTATACTTTGAATTTTTGATAGTTAAAATTAGTAAACATGAGCTATAGTCGATGTAAAATTGAAAATTTAAACCAATCAAAAAATTGCAACAGGCTGCAAACAACTTATAACTAAGGCTGGGAATTGATAACGAAGAATTCGAGTATTCGAATACAGGTGGGAATAGATATAAATAATTTGATTACTCGATTATTCGAGTATTCAAATTTTCGAGTTTTCGTTAAGTTAAAATATTTGGATATTCGAATATTAAAATACTTAACCATTATACAGGGTGTCCGGCTAAGCATGAGTACCTATCTCGCTATCATGGTTGGTTAAATTATGAAAAAGTTGCGCATTTTTATTCCGATCAATATTCCAAAAAGAAATTTGACTTATCATTTTTAGTTTTAAATATATCGTAAAAAACGAGATTTTGTAATTTTTAATTTAAATTCAAATATTATTAAGGAAATTTAAATCTGACGAAATCTTTTTGCTAGCTTTAAAAACTTTCGAGATAATCGGATCTAAGCATGGTTAAGTTGACTATCGAGTCAACTTAACCATGCTTAGCCTAGAAAAATGGATATACATAAATGGATATACAGGGGTATGGTATTAGCAAAAACAGATAAAAACGAGAAATTTGTTTATTTCTTAAATATTTAATATCAAAATTAAACATAAAAAACATAGTATGTAGTTTTTAAATTTAATTATTTAAATATTTTAATATTCGAATATTTAAGTATTCGAATAATTCCAGCATTCAAATAATTCGAGTATTCGAATAATTCGACTATTTCAATTAATATTCAAACGATTTCCAGCCTTACTTATTACCTGTAAATCAGCAAAAAGGTAGAAAACATGTTAGAATTAAAGCGTTAATTATCTACTTAATTATAAAATTTATTAGAAAAAATTATGTATGCAACTCCAATTTATTGGACTATTAAAACTCGCACTCATATGACATTCGCCTTCGGCTCATGTATTAATATATTAATGGCTATAGCCATCAGCCGTCGTTGCATAATATACTATTATATACTTATAACCCTACATAGGTAACATGTCCAAAGATAAAAAAGAATGGACACAGTAAGGAGCTACTCTGAAAAACTCAGTTTTTGCGTTTTCAGGAATAGGTGCAGTTAGGAGCTTCAACCTGAACTACATCGACTTACAAAACTCGCTAGGATCAAATTGTAATATTTTTCTTAAATTATCAAATTTACAATTTTTAATTATTAAATTTTTTTACAGAATAATAATTTGTTGAGTGAGTGTGTAGCAGAGATTTATCTATCCTAAAAATAATAATGTTATCAAGAACTGAGTTTTGCAGAGTAGCTCCTGGGATGCCTCCAAAGTGATCCATATTTTATTTACACCAGCCAGCTGTCACTGAATTTAATTTACAGCCACTTTACACTATACATTTTTATTGAAACTTATAAATCAAACTGCTGCAATCTAGCGATGCAGCATTCTCGTACCACATAAGCTTTAAAAGCAAACTAATTTATATACCTGATGTGGCTGTAGAGTCATTGTAGACTGAAGAGAACAAAGGAAATATCGCGATTACTGTTAGCCACGTTAGACACTATATAACTGTTTGACTCATCACTGGCATTTATTCATGGTTGTTAATTTTATTTTCTTTGAAAATTTTATTATAAATTATGAAAAAACCTTTTTTGCCATCGATTAAAAATTGGGGTGCGAATGTAAAAAAATGCCTGAGTAATTAAAACTTGAGTCTTGAATCAAGACTCATAAGGGTTGAAGGAATGAGGGGCCTATTCTAATCAGTTGTGTCTAGGGCCCCAATGACTTAATCCGCCCCTGGTGATAGGCCGTTTATTTTAAAAACAGTAGAGGGTGAAAAATAGTACTTGGAGCTCCTACACGCTCGGCCCTTTGTGCCGGTGCAGAGGTCGCACACCCCTAGATCCGCTCCTGGTTGCATGGGTACGCCACGAGAGATAAAATTTTATACTTACTTTTGTAACAATGTAAGTTGTACGTCCATATAATCCATCTCTTATATCACTTTCTACCGAACTTTGGTTTCTTCTTGTTTCATTTAATGTTAGTAGCAATAATAATGGCCACAATGTTATACACATCACTGTGTAATGATAAGCAATCCTATCGTTTAAAATTAATTGATGATCAGTATTTGGTACATCCCAAAATATAGCACCATTTATTAATGATAAACCAGCTGAGGTTAGTATTACAGTTAGCCAATTAATAAATGTACTTGGCTGTGAATACAAAATTGCTTTCCTAAAAAATTAAAAATAAATTAAAGTTCCTATGCATATGTACAACTGTGCGTTGAATCTGAAAATACGGTCAAATTTTATAAAATAATAATAATAATAATAACTATGTATTTATTGCAAGGTCAGTAATTAGAACAGGCAAATTTACACAAAAATCTTTGGTTTTACCATGAATTACACTTAGAATATTTTAATCAGACCCATTTTTGTAATTGGGCATCTGTGAAGAATTCAATTTTATTACTCCAAAATGCATTTAGATTGAACTTTATTATCCCGAAAATCTTGGAGAATCCTAAACTCCGAATGCTCTGTAAAACTCTTGCAGAACTGTTTTAACTATTTGGATAAAAGGCGCAAAATATGTATAACTTGTATTCACTAGGAAACAATTATTTAATTATTATTATATATATATTAGGGTGATTCATTTCCGCAAAGTTTTTGTTTTCTTCGGTGCTCAAGCAAAATATTAATCTGCATATAGAAAAAAAAATTCTCAACAAGTTTGAGCTCTTAATATGAATTTTAAGTACTTGCAGTTTAAATTTAAAGTTTTCCCATTTAAAAAGCATGTAAAAAAATGTTTTTTTTTTCAAATTTCTAATGCTTACCCACCTTTGACAATATTGCAAATCGGTTTAATACACCTTATGGGGAATTTCACGCTCTTTAAAATTGCTTTTGAGTTTTTTTTTGTAACTCGCATTGGTTCACCAGTAGATGTCGTCAAAGGACAGTTTTTGAAAAAAATCGTTTTTTTTTTTTAAATTTTTTCTAACAAACCGCAAAAAGTAGGGAGAAAAAAGGGCTGAATCATAAAAAAAAGTTATCCAACCAATATTTAATGAATTTACAGCCATTTTTATAACTGAAAACGTAAGAAATTGATAATTACCAACTCATAATGTTATTTAGATTTTTTCTATTTATTATCATTATATTTCCCTACACTAGGAAGTTTTTTAAAATTATTAATTTCTCACTTATAATGAATATGAAAACAACAGATAAATTCATAAAAAAATAGCAAAAAAGTATAAATGAAGATTATTTAATTTTTTGAAGCGAAATTTGAAATATGTTACATAACCTTCTGTATATTCCGATTAAAGTTTTGTTGTTTTTTTTATGAATTTATGTGTTGTTTTCATATTCATTATGAGTGAGAAATCATAATAATTTTAAAAAAGTTCTTAGTGTAGGGAAATATAATGATAATAAATAGAAAAAATCAATCTAAATAACATTATGGGTTGGTATTTATCAATTTCTTACGTTTTCAGTTATAAAAATGGCAGTAAATTCATTATATATTGGTTGGATAACTTTTTTTTTATAAATCAGCCCTTTTTTCTCACTACTTTTGGCAATTTGCTCGAAAAAATAAAAAAAAACGATTTTTTTCAAAAACTGTCCTTTGACGACTCCTACTGGTGAACCAATGCGAGTTACAAAAAAAAACTCAAAAGCAATTTTAAAGAGCGTGAAATTCCCCATAAGGTGTATTAAACCGATTTGCAATATTGTCAAAGGTGGGTAAGCATTAGAAATTTGAAAAAAAAACCATTTTTTTTACATGCATTTTAAATGGGAAAACTTTAAATTTAAACTGCAAGTACTTAAAATTGATATTAAGAGCTCTACCTTGGTGAAAATTTTTTTTTCTATAGGTAGATTAATATTTTGCTTGAGCACCGAAAAAAAACAAAAACTTTGCGGAAATGAATCACCCTAATATATATATATCTCTGTCTGCTAATTGTACCAGAAAATTTAATGTTAATCAAACTTTGACCTTGAATGACTCTAGAAGAAATTAATTTATCGAAAAATAATAAGAGACCTTTTTTGTAGAGCGTTAAATTTTATATAAGAAACTGCAATGATCATTGCCATAAGTTACTTTGATACAGAGGTATAAAATTCTAAACATAAATTAATTTTTTCCCATGTTAATTCAATGGGAAACTAAAATAAAAACAGCGACCTCTTAGAGTTGAGCTGGAACGCCCATATTTGGTGAGGATTTTTTTTATATTAAATAAAATCATTTGAGAGGGTAAGAGCGAAAAATTTTTTTTTTAAGCACCCTAATATACAGGATGGTCCAGGATTAATCTGAAAAATTTTAATGATCCATAGAGCCTGAAAAAACAATAAAAACAAACCCAAAAACATTTTTCAAAAATGCATACTAACGGAGATATAGTCCTATTAATAATTTTTAAACCATCAAACCGATTCTTCTTAAATTTTGTGTAGGTTAAGCTTCCGTCGATAATATAATGAAAATTTCCTACAAAAGGCCCAGTGGCGGAGATTTTGGAAGGGGTTTCCCCTTTTTACCGTCATATTTTCGACGCCACTGGATTTTATTAGAAAATCATCAGATTTATTTTTCTCCTTTTTCAATCTAAAAGCAAAACTTTTATGTTTATTTTTTATCAGATCAATGGTTTCGAAGATAAATATTTCAGTTTAAAATTTCAAAAACACTTTGTACCCGGAACTTTTGTTACTACTATTTTAGTAATAAAAAATTATTTTTTTTTCTGAACGATTGTATTGGGCCAATAAAAATTTACCAATGAAATAATGGAATAATCGCTTTCAATAGGGTGGTTTTTGGGTTGGTTTGATTTTGTATTATAATACAATTAAATTAATAATTACAGACGTTGATTGTAATCCTCAATCAACGTTACAATAAAACAACCTAAAAATATGACGGGTTCAGTAACAACTGCACGATGACTCCTGGATAAAATTCCGTGTACTCGGTGTTTTTGAAATTTTAAAGTCTCCGAAACCACTAATCTTATGAAAATTTAACACACAAGTTTTGCTTCTAAATTGAATAAGAAATCTGAGTATTTTCCAATAAAATCCATTTTGACACCACTGCAGTGGTGTCAAAATATGGGGGTAAAAAGGGGAAAGCCCCCCAAAATCTCCGCCGCTGGGCCTTTTGTAAGAAATTTTACCTACACAAAATTTGAGCAGAAGTTATTAAAAAAAAACCGTTTTTTTTTGCCTTTGAAGGGCTATTAGTGTGTTAGTGTGTATTTTTAAAAAATGTTTTTGGGTTTGTTTTTATTGTTTTTTCAGGCTCTATCGATCATTAAAATTTTTCAGATTAATCCTGGACCACCCTGTATATATATATATATACACACATCAGAAAAGTCTAGGGATATTTTTACAAAATCATAAACTAGATAAAATTAATTTATGTATAGTTCTAATTGTACTTGGAATATATGTATTAATAATATTGCTTACCATAAAAATATTTGTTTGTTTACGAGAGATGAAAAAAGTAGAAATCCTACACTTCATTTGGTTTCGCATTAAATCATTCTATAAAGCTCTTATTTAGTGGGTGCATTTAAAATATTGTGTTTTACCATGGAACGACGACATTTAACTTTAGACGAAATGAATCGAGCGGTAGGCCTTCTTCAAGCTGGCATGCGGCAAACTGAAGTAGCTGAGCGGATGGGTGTTTCTCAAAGTGTTATCAGTCGATTATGGAGCCGTTTTAGGGAAACTGGTAGTCCGGCAGAGCAACATCCAGGACGTGGACGCTCAACAACTGCAGCTCAAGATAGATTTTTACTCTTAACGGCTAGAAGGCAACCTACAATTACAGCACTTGAATTGGTTACGGCTTTACAAAGGGCGGATAACGTAATCATTGGCCGAGACACTGTGAGAAATCGTCTTCATGAAGCTAATCTCTTTATTTGACGACCACTTAGATGTCCACCTCTTTCGAGAGGCAATCGCGCTGCAAGACTCGACTGGTGTCAACATTATCAAAATTGGGTTGAAAATGATTGGGATACAGTTTTATTTACAGACGAATCCAGGTTTGGATTTCATCCAGATTCTCGTCGAACAAGAGTGTGGAGACGATCTGGAAATGTGGAACGTTTAAGACATGTTCAGGAAGTGCACACATACAGAGGTGGTACGATAATGGTATGGGGCCGAATAATTATAGGCGGCAGAACCGAGCTCGTTTTTCCGAATCGCTTCCTAACAGCTCAGCTATATCTGGATACTATTCTTCAACCCATCGTGCATCCATTTGCAGGCGCTGTTGGTCAAAACTTTCAACTAATGCATGATAATGCTCGTCCACGTACCGCACGTATTGTAACCAACTGGTTGGACAACGAGGGAATTGAGTTTAACCATGGCCAGCACAATCCCCGGACCTAAATCCTATTGAGCATGTGTGGGATATGCTTCAACGTAGAATTACTCCACATATGGACAACATTCACAATGCGTTTCGATTTAGGGAGCTTCTGACAGCAGAGTGGGCACGTTTACCTCAAGGAGATATTGACAATCTTATTTTGTCTATGAACAATAGATGTGCAGCAGTAATAAACCAACGTGGAGGTCATACTTTGTACTAAAAAATTTTTTTTTACATACTCGGGAGTTTTTACAAAACTCTAAAAATATTGCTTTACACAATATTTTTTTTTATAAATCTTGGGGTTATTTTTTAACAAAATATTTAATTTTATGTAATAATAAACACTTACTTATACTATACATTTATTGGTTTTTTCTATATTAAGTTAGAAAAAAAATACATCAATTTATAAAAATATCCCTAGACTTTTCCGGGTGTGCCAAAAAAACTCGATATTTTTTTTTCTTGCTCTCCACCTAAAATATCGTAGAATATGTCCAAACAAATATTCTGTTAAAAGCGGAGCTCATAATTTCAATTTTAAGAGGTCCCTCATCTAATCTGAAGTTTTGCCGCTTAAATAGCACAGAAAACTGTCTTTTTTACCTTATTTATTCTTGCAACCTAGGAAGAAATTTTTTTTTCATAAAATCCATGACCAAATCTTACAAAGCATTAAATTTGGACGAAAAAATCTTATTAAGCCGAATTTCTATTTTCATTATATGATTTTTTACAGAGCTTTAAATTTCAAATTTTACGTTTTTTGCCTTTTTCAGCTAAAC